GCAAAATTCTTTGATGGTTAGAAACGAATCATCACCATTTAAAGGTTATTTTAGCTCTGGTTTTGATGATTTTTGGCAACTACATTCCTCGACCCTAGAAAAATACAATGAACGAATCCAATCATCAATTTAAAATATTTACATTAGTGGTTACCACAAATCTTACATTCTACTTAATAGAATTATAGAATAAACTCTAAGTTTTGGTTGAATCTATTTGTTTAGACGGGATACACAATCTACGAAACTAATTTCAATGATAAAATCATCACACTTTCTTTAATATAGTACGAGATTGCATAGACAAAAATCATAAAACATTAGGTAATGGGACAAAATTCTTCGACGATTAGAAACGAATCATCTTGATTTAATGATTATTTTAGCTCTGATTTTGATGATTTTTGCGGGGATGCTAACTGGGAGTAAAACCACACACTGAATTGACCTGATCAAATTGGATAATCTTTTAACCACTTAGGATAAAAAAAAGGAAAATATTTGGTGTTTGCCTGACGAAATTTACAAAGTTCATCGGACAAGAATACTACATTTGTCGGGTAAACTTTCAATCTTCCCCATTTTTTCCAAAAATATCATATTTTCCCCTATGTTAGAGTATTTGCCCAACGAAATATCATAAAATTTGTCAGGCAGAGTTATTTTCCCACCATTTATTTTCGCACAAAATTAAACCGGGTGGACATTTCTATGCAACTTTTGCCCAACGAATCAATTATGTCAAAATACACGTGTCACAATTTTTAAACCTTTGCAACTTTTATTGATATTTTACAAGGTTCTAAAAAACGCTAGGCGCTAGTCGGGCGGCGGGCTAGCGCCTAGCGCCTAGGCGGCTAGGCGGTGCCTAGGCGGCCTAGGCGGATTTAGGTAAATTTTTTGTATATCTTGTAAATAAGTGCATATTGACACCTAAAAAAAACTATACTTGTATGGATAATAAAATAATGATAAAATGCAAATTAGATACACTATTTCCATAAGTATTGGATGAACTTGTAGTAAATTCATCATTTGCAAATTAGATACACCATTTCCATAAGTATACCACCATGAAACCAAAAAAGAAAAAAGCACGCAATTAATAAAAAATAAAAAATAAAAAAACCTCCTAGGACCGCCTAGGACCGCCTAGGGCCGCCTAGGACCGCCTAGGACCACCTAGGGCCGCCTAGGACCGCCTAGCCCGCCTAACCCACCTAGCCGCCTAGCCCGCCTAGGTGGCCGCCTAGGCCCAACCCGATTTTTCCTCCCGATTTGCCCAAAATCACCTCGGTTGGTGCCCGCCCAGCGCCTAGGTGCCGCCTAGGCGGCCGCCTAGGCCGTTTTTTAGAACACTGATATTTTATATCAGCCGAGAATCTTCTTCTTTGTCCTTTGTGCCTTTGCTGATATATCTATATATGCTTTCGCTCTCTCTATGCTCTCTCTCTCTGCCCCAAAGGTATGTTTGCTCATCTCTTTGATTTATATTAGTTGCATGTGCAAAATCTTGGGTTTTGATGTATTGGTAGGAAAATTGTGAAAATTGTGAAAATTGTGAAATAGTGAAAATTAGGAAATGTTGGAAACTTTTAATATTGTAGGAAATATTAGAAATTTTTTAATTTGAATAGGAAATATTAGAAATTTGAAGGAAATACTAGAAATTTGTAGGAAACCTTAGTAATTTGAAGGAAATATTTTAAATTTGTAGGAAATATTAGAAGTTTGATGGAAATACTAGAAATTTGTAGGAAACATTTGTAATTAGTAGGAAATATTTGAAATTTTTTAATTAGTAGGAAATATTAGAAATTTGAAGGATATACTAGAAATTTGTAGGACATTTGTACTTTGTAGGCAATATTAGAATTTTGTAAAGTAATAGGGAATATTAGAAATGTTTTGTAATTTGTATGTATTTTTTGAAATAATGTCATTTAATAAAATATTTAGAAATTAATGCGATTTATTAGAATTAAGTTAAATTTTTTTTTTTTGTAAATTAGTATTTCTTTATTGTGATTATGTTTTATAGATGACATTGCAGTTGGTCACCTATGGACGCTGCTTTACCTCTTGTTAGAGAAGGTGGCCGCAACCGATTGTGACGTCGCAGAGACTAGTAGTACCCAGGCGGCCACAACAAAGTTGGCGAGCTGGTCTACTTCATTAGCTTCATTAGTCTGGAATCCCCGATCTGCTTGCCGTATTGATAGCCGGAAACAACCCTGCTCTATGCTAGCCTCAACACCCCCTTGTGACGTCGCGGAGGTGATGCCGATTAGGCGGCAATGCCCCCTAAGGGAAACAGAGAACTCCTAGCCGGAGGTGAGAAGAAGGTTAAAACATAGGGAATCTATAGAGGCTTGTCCTCAAACCGAACCACCGCATAATGCAAGCCAAGATTGTGATCATTTATGACCCTTGACATCGGCGCGCGGACCTAAAAGTCTACAATATGTTGGTTTTATTAGAAGAACACCTTTATTATGTCCATATAAAGGAGTTATTGCACTAGTTTTGAATTTGGAGCAAAACCATATTTTTGATAGCACTCAAGGGATTAGTGTGAGAGAAAATTGTAAGGGCAAAGTGTATGGGAGAAAACAAAAGAGATAAGAGTGTATTTCTTGTTCTTGTTCTTTCAAGTTTTTCGTCAAGTCTTAATACTAGAGACTTGGCAAGATTTGTCACTGTACTCATTGTTGATATAGTGAAAAGATTGTTGTTGATGTCCCGTAGACGTAGGCACTTATCGGCGAACCACGTTAATTCTTGGTGTGATTTATCTTGGTTTTTTTTTTCAATTTTCCGAAATTATTTTGTTTTTTCCATTCTTAAATGCGATATTCACAACAAGCTCATGACATGGGAGCCATCATCCGCATCAAATGCCCCATGCTCCCCCTATATGGAGGAAACTCGCCCGAGAGGTGCAAGAGGTGATGAAGAAAGAGACTTGGGTAACTCTGTTTTTTTTTTTTTTTTTTGTTAACTAATACACTTGTTTCTTTTGTCTATTTCAGGTCAACTTCAATATCGACATAGAAGTGCGGGGTATGTTCGAGTACACAAACCAGGTATGGTTTGAGCAGTACAAGGAGTGGAAATACGAGCTACTCATATACTACCAGACTTGTTCATTTCTTGTTGAAGTTCTGACCGATCCACCTCTAGAGTTTGGGGAAATGAAAGACGAGTGGTACTAGCTCTACATCCATTTTAGAGCCTGCAATTTCTGGTAAGTTTTAAATTTTTTTATTCTCAACAGAAATCGAAGGCAAATAAGGGTAATCAGGAAGCGAAGCAGTATCTCCATCATTTTGGTTCTCAGGCCCTCACATTTTAGGTCAAGGAACGGCGTGAGAAGGGTTTGCTTTTCATGGAAGTTGACGCTTGGGGTGATACACATGCCAATTATGGCAACCAGGTGGCTGACGACATTTATGTAAGTATTCCATTCAAATTTTAGTTTCAAGTTCATTACAATTCAATTTTAAAAAAATATGATCGATAATTTTAATTGATTTCCTTTTTTTGTAAGCATCTATGTCACAAAAGAATGACGAGTATTTCACCAACCTCTTTCAACAGCAACCAAAAACGCCAATGGTGTAGTTAACACCAAATCCAGATGTGTTTCTACAATTGCTAATGGACGAGGTTGGGCAACAAAAAGGCCGAGAGCTTCGTGGCCCTAGGAGCGGGTCAAGTCCAAGATCTCAGATGATCTTCTTCCTCTAGCTCTCAGCCTCCAAGTGGGACGTCTTCCAGACTACAGCATGTGGAGATGGAGTTAGAAGCCATGCGCCAGCGAGGAGAATAATTGCGCCAACAAATCAAGCTCGGGAAAACGATGCACATGAGCGGGAGGAGGAGTTTATGTGGTATATTGATGCGATGGCGTAGGGAATGTAGCCTCTGACATTCACCTCCCTGATCTTCCAAACGACCTTCAGCCATCACCCTAGGAGTAGTTACTTTAGGATACTGTACATATACATTTGTACCAATATTTTAGTTTTAATATAACTAAATATTTTTTTTAATATTATGATTCCTTTAATTTGAAATTAGTATAATTAAAACTAATTTATTTATTTAAAGTACATAAAATTAAACTATGAATTTAAAAAAAAAATATTAAACGCTTGGCTAACATATACTTTCGTCGAGCATGTATTTTGTACCTTTTATTTATATATTTTCTTTCAATTACTTACCTGACGAAATACTGTCGTCAGGCAAGTTTTGGTTGTTGGCCTAAGTTGGTTGATGCATTTTGCTCGTTTCTTCGGATAAATGTTATTGCCCTACAAAATTCAAAAATACGTTGAGCAAACATTTGTGCGACGATTTTTACCTGACCAAAATTTTCCAGACAAATTTTTGTTGGGCAAAGATTTAGGTGACAAAAGCCTTATTTTGCCCGACAAAACATTTTCATCTGGAAAGGGTGTTTTTCATAGTTAAAGCTCAAGATTAGGGTTTTCCTATGTCTTTTCCCTAAACTAAACCTATGCATCATTCATTACGCAATTGTTGAAAAAAATGAAGGATTTAGGGAATAATAAGGCCCTTCTTGTCAATTGAATAGCTACTTCATTGTGATGGCTTGTTATGAGCCATGCTTAGATTAAGCTCTCCTAATTTCACAATCAGTCCTTTCAAAATCGTTCCTAGATACGAATATGCAATTCTCAAAATCTAGTTCTACCCCACATTTGATGGACTTTGTTTCAATCTTCCAGAATCCTAGATACGAAATATGCTATATATTCTCAAAATCTAGTTCTACCCCACATTTGATGGACACTGTTTCAATCTTCCAGTTTGTTCTGGTCATCATATTGTTTCATAAGGACTGTTGTTCTGGTCCTTAGTAATTAGTATATATATATCCTCCTCTCTAAATGTCAGTCTCTTGGTGTAATAGTATTTCTTTTCTCAATGTTTGGCAATGACAATTAAGAAAAATACTTTTTGCACACATATAATTAGCTTGCTCTTAGGAAATACAAATTTATTAATTTTCATATCCATAAGAAAAAAAAAAAACAAACCAAGACTTGAGATGAACACACAATATACCCACAGCTAGCAATATACTTCTTAGCTGCAAGGTTTAGTTCAAACACCACAGTAGGCTTTTATAGCACTGTTTGAAATATAACGATCTTGAGAGCGAAAGAAACGTAGTAGTCCAGGATGATCAAATGACTTGTAGCGTAATGGGCGTTCTTCATCGCCAAGCTCTTCGGGTACATGTATCTCGCCATCGCTAAATGCAAACTGCGCCAACGAGTATCTTGTTTCATTCCCACTCATAATAACTCGATGATTAGGAGATAATATCCTGTCATTGCTCCATGCCTAATCAACGACCAAACCATAAATGTAAATTATATATCTTCTACGAATTAAGAGTTAAGGATAACCTTAATAACATATAAATGATAATACATTAAAATCTCTTAATTTCAGAAATTGAGCATCCGTTAAGATTAGGGTGCTTGATATTTGATGTGTTATTTTGTCAGTATAATTAGTGACCTACCATTAGGGCATCACCCGCCATGACTATGAAGGATGAAGGTGGAAACTCAACTTTAATCCATTCGTGGTTCCTTGTTTCAACCTCCAGAGCATTGACTTGATTATTCTGATAAAGTACGGTTGTGAAGCTCTTGTCAGTATGAGCAACGAAGCCAAGATTGTGCTCATTTTCTTTGGGTGATCTATTTTGCAAGATCCGAAGAAGGTAAGAGATCGATCCAACATACGAGTCATAATACTTCTCCACACCATAGCTCTCAAATATCATTCTAGCCACCATTTGATCCAACTCCTCCGCCACTTTTGCAAACGCATATGCCCTTTCACTTAATTATAACCACCCAAAAAAAAAAAAAATGTTAGGACCATTGTAAACGATTCAAGGAAATGATTTATGCAACACCTCTGTTGGAAAATGATTTCCGCAAAACCATGGTTGTGCGGGGAAAATTTTTCCCACAATTTATTATGTAGAAGGATAAGAAAGGTGATCTTACAAAAGCGAAAATTAGAAAATTAATTACCAGAATTTATCATTTCCAGCAGGCCACATGAGCTTTGTGAATTTTTTAGTCTCCTCAAAATTGGTTGCACAGTCGATGCCCAAGCTTTCATGGAGAGGGAGTTTGGGAATTTGTCCCACATAGCCATTTAAGGGCTTTTCATATTTGTTTGTCATTTTGGTCTCGGTAGGGAGATCAAATAGTTCTTCAAGGGAACCAACAAAAGCATTGCGAAATTCATCAGAGATTTTGTCATACAACACTACAAAACATCCAAACTCTTCAAGTGCTCGTTGAACATCTTTGCATGCCAAGAGCCATGAGTTGGTCCCTGGCTTCAGAGCTTCCTTGGAGAAATCTAGGACAGGAAGCTTTTGCTCAACTTCAGAACCCATATCTTGCTTTAGGGTTTTTCGGCTACCAGTATTTTTACTGAGAGTGTATTAATAGTTGAGGAGGCCAGTTTTTTATGTTGTTACTTCTTGATCATAGTAATTTATTGGTGCAACTGTGTTAACAAGACAAATGATCAGGTGATGCAAAGACAGAAACAAATGTCAGTGGTTGCTTATACTTTAGTATATCCTCTTGGCATTATCTAGCTGATTAAGGTGGACGTCAGTATTGCACGACCAATATATACAAACATGCGTGTGTTTGTGTGTGCGCACGCGACACATCTAATCACTATAATTAGAGTTAATTACAGAAATACTTTCCCATCATTTCTGTTCCATCATTGTCAATAAAATGTCAACATCAGTTTAAAACAATTTCAGAATTGACAAGGAATAGCAAATCTAAAAACAATTTTAGATCCGGTGATGCAACTGTGACAACAAGACAAATGATCAGGTGATGCAAAGACAGAAACAAATGTCAGTGGTTGCTTATACTTTAGTATATCCTCTTGGCATTATCTAGCAGATTAAGGCGGACGTCAGTATTGTACAACCAATGTATACAAACATGCGTGTGTTTGTGTGTGCGCACGCGACACAACTAATCACTATAATTAGAGTTAATTACAGAAATACTTTCCCATCATTTCTGTTCCATCATTGTCAATAAAATGTCAACATCAGTTTAAAACAATTTCAGAATTGACAAGGAATAGCAAATCTAAAAACAATTTTAGATCCGTACTTTTGTGTGGAGCTGACTGATGTAGGATTTGCAAGGGGAATGGATTAGGGGGCTTAAAGGGAAGTTATGCAATTTTGCTGTCTAATGTAGCATTTGCAACGACAATGGATTAGGGGATTTAAAGGCAGTCATACCTATGCAGCTGTGCTGCCATGTGTGACAATGCTATTAGGCAGATAAGTTCAGTTAGGAAATGTGTACTTACATTTTAGGGAGTGATTCAGAGTAGTTAATGGGATAATGATACCTACGCTGTTTAGGTATAGGAATAGGAAAAATATATTATGAGAGATTTTTTAGTGTGACCTGAACACGGGGTGGTATATCATGTGTTACTATACAAATGATAGGATATGTGTGTTATATAAAAGCACGTGGTGTACTACTGGTGTTCCAGTCACAATAAAAAATTTCTCATATATTAGGGGAATTCAATTGAGGATTCACTGCATAATGGTTGGGTTAGGGGTAGTTGAACAGTACCTTCCTCTCTTCTCCTTCGACGGTTGCAATGATTGCAGCCGGACGTCTATGACTACCGATTTCAAAGGGTTTCGAATCTTGCTGCGGAAGGAGAGAGAGCAGCAATGGAGTGACCAAATTAAAGAGTCGTTTGACTTGATCAAGTCGTTATAATTAATTTCGCCTTTTTTCTCCTGAACTGGTATCTTACTCCAAATATACTCTTTAAACTCTTAGCCAATTTTCTTTCTAAACTACTATATATGAAGTGTCAAATTTCTGAAAAACCCTATCATCATATATATTCATTCACATTCCGTCCAATTTTCCGTCCAGAAAAGCTACATGACAGTCATTAATTTTTTTTTACTTTCCTATTGTTATTAATGTAAAGTCGGATAAAGACTTGGCTTTTTTTTTTTTTTTACATTTTCAAAAAGTGAGTTTACTTTTAAATTAATCAATAAAAAATATTTCATGTAAAAGTAAGGGTTAATCTCAGTTTACTACTCTGAAGTTTTGTGGTTTTCAACATTTGGTACATGAAGTTTTTTTCATCCCAAAGTCATACCTCAAGTCTTAATTTTGGGACAGTTTCATACACTAAGTTTTCCGTTAGAACTTCTGTTAATTGATGCACTACTACAATATAGGCTATCACCAGCGAAGCAAAAACCAACAATAAACCCAATTTCTATCGGAAATTTGGCAAAAATCCGACATAAAACAATGTAATGTTGGATTGGAATAGCGACACTAATGCTAGCGTCACGAAAGGGCTTCAGTTTTTACCCTTAATCCGCCACTACTCAGTGTCGGTTAAAAGCGACACTGATATTAACGTCACTTTAAAGCGACGTACACTTCAACATTACGTCGATTTAAAGCGACGTTCATTGGCAATTTAATTATAAAATATCCAGACTACTGTCGGTTTAACCGACATCGTGATAAAATTAAATAAAAAAAATATCCCTTAACCGATGTCAGATAACAATTAAATAAATAAAATATGCAAACTAGTAACAGTCTTAACCGACACCATCTTTGTTAATAATAATCAAAATACGCCAAAATCTGCATTTGTTTTCAATTAATTGTAACTAAAAAAAATTATATAACCAAAATAATAAATTTCAAGTATAGCCAAAACAAACATTAATAAAAATAATTAACAAGAAAAATGGTGCCAAAATATACAAATATTTTACATCTAACATTTCACATAATATACAAAAACTCATCCGTCATAACAAACACTAAATCCAACATTACAAACATAACATACAAAAACAAAAAGATAGTACGATCAAAGTGTCATATTTATCCGACAAGAAAGCGAACCAAATAAACTACTCAACCGAATCTGAGCCTGAATGTGGCATAGATCCTTCTCCTCCTTGAGATCCTCCATCTGGTCCAAAAACCCTTGTCAAGTCCACATCAAATCCACCACCCGCAAGCATTCCAGAAAACCCCCCAACTGGAACTTGAGGACAAAATCCAGCAGGAGCAACCATCTCGGGTCGATATACTGGCATTTGATAAGGCGATGGATGCTGCATGTATGACATGGGAGGCTGCTGCATATATGGCATGGGTGGCTGCTGCATGTATGTCATGGGTTGAGTAGGCATCGGATACATAGGATATGGAGGTTGCTGATTATGGCCAGAATACGGATATGCAGGGGGAGGCACTTTGGCCCGATTATTGAGGAGGAGGAGGCTAACTCTGGCCTGACTGTTGGGTTCCCGGGCTATATGGTGGTTACAGCTAAAATCTTTGGAGAAACAACGCAAACAATTGATTTTGCTGATTCTCTGATTGTTCAATCTTAACCTCTAGGTCCGAAACCGTTTATTATCATTTTCGTTCCTCATTCTCAGCTCATTATTTTGAGTCATCAGCACTACCATTGCACTCTTAGATGATCTCCTGGAGGAATTTGATGTAGAAGATGAAGAAGATGCATAGGACACCATATCAGGAGTCACCCCATGACCATATCCTCTGACTCTATTATGACTCTCAGGACCCATTGTATCAACATAAACCCGAGTCCTAAGTTCTTCATTATCCTCATTGCCCAACTCAATCAAAGTTTGCAAATTGCTCTCCATTGTTGCCTTGCATTACAATTTTTAAAAATAAAAATTCAAACAATCATAAAACAGAAAAATAAGCTATAGATAAGAAAAATTAATAACAAAAAAATATTAACACAAAAAAATCAATTACCCATGTACGTTCCAATGTTTCATCAATCCAACTTTTATCTTTTCGTGTAAGACATTCACGAAAAACTGTTACAAGATCTACCTCTTTACCATGCTTCTTCCGCTTTATCAAAAATAAAATTTCATACAAATAATTTTAAGCAAACCTCATATTAAAAATAAAATTTATAACAACTATAGATTATTTAAAATTAAGAACATTTCTTCAAAATTTACAATCCTTACAAATTCTTGCCGCACCCTTGCAAAAGATTTTGTACCAGTAGTATGGTTCATTGTTTTTAATTGCCGATTAATCTTGTTTTTTTCAGCAACCTCCTGAACAAAAAAAAAAGAATTTATTAGACAAATTTAAAGTTATAACTAAATAAATCATATACTGATTACCCTTGTTTTTTCTCTATTTCAGTATGCCACCAACTCAACCTACTGTGCAGGATTCACTTTAGGAGGAGGGTGGCTGCGCACCTCTTCTGCTCTTTTAGTATAATATTTTTTTTAACTTATTTCTATACTCTTTATGCGCATGCTCCGCAACTTTAAGCATCATATGGTGGATCATAGGCATTTTTACTATATCTGCATCTTCAAAAAAAATATTTCTCTACATCCATATAAAAAAAAATCAAGCTAATAAAGTATTACTACAATCTTTGACTTATCTTCTACTTTCAAGTAAAAATAAAAATATCTATACCTTTATTCTATTCCAGAAAACTTCTTTATCTTTTTCCTTAATCTTACGCCAATCCTTCGTCAACGGGAGATTGTGGGGGTCTCTAACCTCCGCTACTACATGCTTTGAAAAAGCACTAGCATTATCACTAATGCATTTTCCGGACAAATTAAACGAACAAAACTGTTTCGTCCATTTGGGAATTGAGGATCCGCACCTCTGTTGAGATGTTCCTTATTATCACAAAAAGAAAAAAATTAAAAACCAGGAAACAAATGTAAATTTTCAATTTAAGCATATACTAGTTTAAACACAAACAAAAAAAAATTGAAATTAATAATAATTCATAAAAGAACCAGCTTCGAACTCCTCCTCTTCCAAATGAAGTTCCTCAGAACGTTGATCTTCACCAGAATTATCCATAGCAAAAGTTAGTGGAAGGTGAAGGAATATGGCTGAAATGGGGGAAATAGTAAGGCTGAAATGGGGGAAAGAGTAAGTCTAAAATGCGAGGAGAGGGAGTAAATGAGAGAAAGAAATGGAAGCATGGAAGTAATGGGAAAGAAGGAGGTTTAAATATCGATAAAATTTTAGCGTCGAAATATGAACACATTACGTCGGTCAAAACCGACACTATCTCTGACAAACTGACTTAAAAGTAAATGGCATCGAAATAATTGGACTTTGCGTCGATTCAAACCGACACTGTATCTGACATGCCCTAGATACACCTAGCCTGACAACGTTTTGGCTGAAAGGCCTGTCACACTTTTGACTGAAAGGCCAATGGCGTCGAAATAGGGTAACATTACGTCGGATAAAACCAACGTTAGGCTGACAGATTTGTGTGGTGTCAAAATAAGGAAAAGCTTGCATCAGTTCAAACCGACACTGCCATGATAGACATGACAGTCGTAGCAAGTGG